CGGACGGGGACGGTTCGGCCGGGGTTGGCGTGGGGTGTTCGGGGCTGCTGGAGCCGGGGGGGCGCGAGGCCGCCGCCGCCGTGCCCCGTGATGGCTGCGGCGGCGGCGGCTGCAGGGACGGAGGGCGCGTCACCACCAGCCCCTCACGGGCTCTCCCTCTCCCCCCTCAGGTGCCTTCGACGGCGGATATGGCACCGCGGGCATCTCCGGGCCCGCGGGGGGCTACGTGCAGTCCCCGGGCGGCTTCGGCTCCCCCTCCGGCACCCAGGCGGAGAAGAAGCAGGTAGGCCGGGAGCGGGCCCGCGGCGGGGCGGGGGAGGGGGCGGGCGGCCCCCGGCGGTGCTGACGGTCCCGCCGCCCCTTGCAGAGGATCCGCTCCCAGAACATCGTGCCCTGCACCGTGTCCCAGCTGCTGGCGGCCGAGCAGGTGGAGGAGACCTTCCGCGTCTGCGACGTGGACATCTCCCAGGTGGGTGCGGGGGGAGCCGGAAGGCTGTGGGGGAACGGGTGCGTTTCCCGGGCGAACCCTTCCCTCTTCCCGCGCAGGTCACCATCGTGGGCATCATCCGGCACGCCGAGAAAGCACCCACCAACATCCTCTACAAAGTGGACGACATGACGGCAGCCCCCATGGACGTCAGGCAGTGGGTTGACACTGATGTAAGCACCCCCTCCTTATGGAGGCGCTTCTTTAAAAGCTTCGGGAGCAGCCAAGGGAGAAAACCCATCAAAGATGGGCCGTTCTGAAAAGTCCCTAGGGAATTTCTCTTGGGAAAGTCTCTTGGGCCAGTAGGGGGAGGGAGGTCATTCTCCCCCTCTGCTCTGCACTGGGGAGGCCACAACTGGAATACTGCGTCCAGTTCTGGGCTCCCCAGTTCAAGAGAGACAGGGAACTGCTGGAGAGAGTCCAGCGTAGGGAAACGAAGAGGACTGAGGGATTGGAGCGTCTCCCTGACATGGAAAGGCTGAGAGAGCTGGGACTCTTTAGCCTGGAGAAGAGAAAGCTGAGGGGAGACCTTATTAATGCTTCCAAGTATCTAAAGGAAGGGTTGCAGAAAGATGGAGCTGGACTCTTTTCAGTGGTTCCCAGTGACAGGACGAGGGGCAACGGGCAAAGCTGGACCATGGGAAGTTCCATTCAAATATGAGGAAGAACTTCTTTCCAGTGAGGGTGACAGAGCCCTGGAAGAGGCTGCCCAACGAGAGAGTGGAGGCCCCTTCTCTGGAGATTTTAAAGTACCACCTAGTTGCAGTCCTGTGTGATGTGCTCTGGGCAACCCTGCTTTGGCAGGGGGGGTTGGACTGGATGATCTCTAGAGGTCCCTTCCAACTCTGACAACTCCGTGATTCCATGAATAGCATGGCTCTGAAAGCCAAGGGGGCCGCTGCTGTAGCAGAGATCACTGGGGCTGTATGTGACTCTCCAGGTTTGTAATTCATGTGGGGTTCTATATTGAATTGCTGTGAATAGTTTTTTAGAGTTTAACTGCAGCTGCTCAGCCATTACTTCACAGCTGAACTGAGAGGTGCACGCTTCGTACCTTTGTGTAGAAGGAGAGAGAGTGAACAGAAAGTGTCCATGTGGCTTTAGTGTCTGAGAAGAAGGCATGTGCTCATGAATATTGTCTCATTTTCTGATGGGCGCCTCCTGAAATGCTGGTAATTGTCACTGCTGGTGACAAAAAAAAAGGCTGTCACTGCCTTTAAAGCTGGCCCATGTTATCGTAACATATATTTGAAGGCAAACAGCTGAGCTCAGTTGAACACCTTTGGGATAGTAATTAGGCAGACATTCAGTTGGCTTAGCTGCGAGTTTAGTATAACGTCAAAAAAGATCCTGGCCTCCATTTCCCTAGCCAAGTTACATAGCTGAACGCTTGGTTTTTTTACTGCTTGAGGATTCTCTCCTCTTGTTGCTTTGTGAAAATCCCTGAGAGGTGGACAGAGACAGCAGAGCAGACAACTGGCTTTGACTGCTGTCAAGTTCAAATAAGCAAATTTTTTTTTCCTTTATTTTTCACTTACAATTATGTTTACCTGCCTGCTCTTACTGGATGTTAGAATGCATGCTGTTTGTGTCTGCTTGTGATAAGCCCCTTTTCCTAAGTTGTTTATTGTGATAATTGAGAAATAGAAATGTGAATCAGCAAAACCTTGCTTTTTCCTTTTCCTCTCTGTTAGGAGGCAGGTGGCGAGAATGTTGTGGTACCTCCAGGAACTTACATAAAAGTGGCTGGTCATCTTCGGTCTTTCCAGGTAAGAGCATGTTACCCATGTCTGGCTCCAAGTCACGAGGCTGGAGCAGCAGCGTGAAGGATTGGTGATCTGGCACAGTGCTAGTGGGTTCCCTTTAGAATATCCACTTAATTGTGGGTTTTCTAGATCCATTTAATCCTTTTGGTTGGAAGAGACCTTTAAGATCATAAAGTTGAACCATTAACCCAGCACTGCCAAGTTACCACTAGGCTGTGTCCCTCAGCACCACATCCACAGATGCTCATCCTTTCCTGTGAACAAATCCTTGAATGTTGTTGCCAGGGCTATATTTAATAGCACTAATTGTTCCTAAATACAAGTTTTTGTCAGTGTTAGGTTGATGATTAGGCTAGATGATATGAAAGGTCCGTTCCAACCTGGGTGGTTCTATGGTTCAATGACAAGGGACCCATTTAAAATGCCACTCCTCATCAGTATGTTGTTTTCAGCAGAACAGAGTACTGGTTCTTGGATGCTTGTACTGTAGAGCTTAGACCGGGTTCTGGTTAATGGGAATGCTTCTTGTAGCATATTATGTGATATGGTTGCCTTGTAACTAACTATTATAACTAAATATATGAATAATCATTAAAATAATGGTGCGTGCATTAAAACAAAGTGCAATTAATTACCAGCCAGTTAGAAAGAGAACTTACCCTGTCTGTGTTGTCTTGCAAAATCATATATGAAAATGTAAGTCAGAAAACTTTGGACCAGTTGCATGTGGACAGCCTCCCTACCTGCCACTGTCCCTCTTCCTAGAGAGAATGGTGGTGCTGGCTCTTACCCTGTTATCCATCCACATCTTCCTGTGATGTTAATTTTCTTTTATTATTATTTTTTTCCTCTGAAAGACTAATAAAAGCTTGGTGGCATTTAAGATCATGCCCCTGGAAAATATGAATGAGTTCACCGCACACATGCTAGAGGTTGTCAATGCGCATATGAACCTCAGAAGAAATCTTATGGTATGTACTTGAAGATCTTGGGTCCATCTTGGCCGTTACTGGCTATCTTCCAATGAGAGGGACTTTGGGAGGTTGTACACAAGTTGTGGGGCTGGAATGATTGAAGCTGTTAGAGGGCTACAGTGAAGGTGTAACAGGAATCCTGGCTTCCTTGGAGAGAGATTGTGTTGCAGCCTATTTCCAGTGGTTTCTTTTGGGAATCTATTTTTGATTACTGTTTCTGTGAAATAACACTGGGTCTTCAATGCCGTGGGCTCGTGGCAGCCTGTGTAACCACAGCGATTTTCCTCTTGTAATTGCAGTCAGCGTCAAAAGCACCGCAGTCCTTTTCCTCCGCTGGGATCAGTGACGTGGGGGGCTATGGAGGGGGTGGCAGCTTCCCAGTGAACGGACTGACAGCGCATCAGAGTCAGGTAGGGGCAAGCAGCTCCCCCGGGAACACAGCAGTCACAGCAGAGGCTGCTGCCACCGCCTGATGTGGGATGAAGAAATGCAACCTCAGTTACTCTTTGAAGACAGATAGTTCTTCCTCAACCTTGGTGTCCATTGATGATAGAAGGTTATCTGTGTGCTAATGGTGGTTCTTGCTTTTCCAGGTGCTAAACTTGATTAAGAACTGCCCTATCCCGGAAGGTATGAGTCTTCAAGAGCTGAAAGTTCAGCTCCACAATATGAGCATGTCAACAATCAAGTAAGTGTGTAGAAACGAAGGATGTTCTGGAAATCCAGGCAGTCCTTCCTGGGGCCTGATAAAAGGAGGCAGAGAGGAAAATAGTGGGCAAGCCCAGATCCTGCCTTGTTCAACTGCTCTAGTAATTTCAGATGTTCCCAGTAGGATGCAGTGGTGAGCCAGAGCTTTTGAAATCTTCAGCAGCTTGCCAGTTGAAGGGCTGATCAAATGCTGTATTCCCTATTTTCAAAACAAGCTGTTTAACAGTTCGGTAGCAAAGTACTAGGTGCCTGTGAGTTCTGCAGTGCCTCAGCAGTGTTTTCTCCTGTTCAAGTACTGCCTTGCCTTCTGTACGCTGAGCAAAGCTTGGTAATGGACTGTTTCTCTTCTCCTTTGCTATCTCTTATGACTTCTCCCTGAAACTTAGTGAAACAGTGCAGCCTAAAGTCAGTAATTAACGTCCATTATCTCTGTGTGGTCTGCCCCCTTTGAAGCAGAGTTGTAGGTACTGTTGCCCAGGGAGTACTGGGAGTGGTGCCCTCCCCGCTGTGGTAGGCGGAGTGTCAGAGCTGCTGGGGGAGTGTGTTGCCCCATCTTTGGAGAAACTTCCTGTACCTCCTGATGGTGGAGCAGCACTGAGACTACTCAGAGCTTCTAGCTTCTCTGGGCAGATGGCAGAAGGGAACAGTAGGGGTAGGGTTAATATGAACTAGTTAGTAATTGCCTTTTTTTTTTTTTCTTTTTTTTTTTAATCAAAGGCAAGCAGTTGACTTCCTTAGCAGCGAGGGACACATCTATTCCACTGTGGATGATGATCACTATAAGTCGACGGATGCTGAGTGAAGCTACTTCCAGCTGGATTTAGCTGTAAGCAAATGCTTGTCCATGTATCAGGTTATCCTGCCGAGCTTTGCAACGTCGAAGGTGTACTCTTTCTAGCCTGTGAAAGCCCCAGTTAATCTGCGAGTGCCTCCATAGGGCGCAGGGACAAGCAGAACGTATAGATTCTGTTAACTGAACTTGATTATATGCTGTGACCATGTGACTGAAAGCATAAGCAGACACAGGGAAACTGAAACCCCGAGAGCCTTCAGTTTGTTTTTGTTCCCTTAGAGGATGGCTGTGTTAGAAGAACCGCTTTCTAATCTTGTACTGGGCAGATTGTCTTTAGTTTCTAGAGCAGTTTCTCCTAACGCAGCTTTCATTCCATTTCATTCACAAGGTGGGTAGCCGAGAGTAATATTCCACTAATGTACAGTAATCATGAATATATTTTAATTGGTTTAGTTTATGCATTTATCTCTATATTTGTACTATGATGTGATCTTGTTACTAGAGCTTTTGAATGTTTCCAATAAAATGTTAAAATGGGTAGTCTTGCATATGTGTGTGGCTCTAGAGGTTTTTCTTCCCTAAAAAAAATAGAATCATAGAGCTTAGCCATGTGGGTAAAAACAGAGCCTGTGCTTTCAGGGTTTCTTTAACTATGCTTATTTTTTCCTTAACTTTTGAAGTACATTGCTATAGAGGGCCAAATGGAAGTGCTTGTCTGGACACTAAGGAATTAATTGTACTACTGAAGAAATCTACGTGTTGTATCAGTGTTCCAAATATAGCCAGGATCATTACTGCCACCAAAAGTACTTTAGTGGAAGCTCAAATGAATTACATCATGTGGAACGAGTTTTTCTTCTTAGAACTATTTTTAAAGAATAACAGAGAAAAGACACTAAGTTAGGAAACAGCAGGGTTCATGTTAGGGGTATATCAGGGTGGGGTTAACATATTTATATCTCCTGTTTCTCTGCACAATCCCCCTTGTGCAGGGAGGCAGCTGCTGCAGCCTCTTTCTGTCCTCTTGGTCACGATATGCTTCCTGTTATATAAAATGCAAAGCTGAAACCTACCTGCTGGGAATTGTTTTGCGTTTGTTAATGGGAGCATTTTGGGAGCATTTTTCGCCCCAGCCCCATAAGGTGCATAGCTGTTCTCTCATGAGGAGCCACAGCTTTCCTGGTGAATGCTTTGCCAAAAAACAGGACCTGGGGTCTTTCAAGCTGAACGCTGAGAGACCCAAGTGTGCTTTGCTGCTAACCTGTCCCTTGGATGCTACCTGCATGTTCCTAGGGTCCTGCTGGACCAACAGCACCTGCAGCCAGGGCCGAGGCTGGTGGGTTCCTGGGCTGGCCAACTTGATGCTGTGGGAGCTGCGAGTTGCAGGGCTTTTGTTCAGGGACTGGTGAAGGGACCCAGCTTTGAAGAAGCAGTAATTTCCTGTGTTGCATGTCTGTGGGGCTGGCTGGTGGGCCCAGGTGTTAGTGCTGGGGCAAAATCCAGGTGTCCTGGCCAGGTTCAGAGAGCGGTGCAGCTGCAGCCTGTGGTCACTGCTGGGGCTAAACTCTGCTGTCGATGTGGGAGAGGTGAACTTCCAGGCCATGGAGTCCAGCAGATGTAGCAGCCAAAAGTACTGTCATTTCCCTTTTTTCTTCCTAATCTTCGAATCCCTGATGATTTTCAGAAGTGAACATGAGTAGAATTACTTGCAGTAAAGAGAGTAGTTGTGCTACTGGACAAAGCACTTGTGATGTGACTGGAGAGGAAAAAAATGGCTGGGGAGGGAGCTTAAGCCTTTGCCTGGTCTCTCATTTGTTGTTTGATCTTCAAAGCATCCAGGAGCATCTGCTGTTGTCTGGGCAGTGGGACAATTTGGAATAGGGGACAGAAGTGTTGGCTGTTGCACAAAAAGTTTGCATTTAAAACTGACTGTGAACTGACAGTGAAATCTAAACTTGGAATGCTTTTGGTTCAAATAAAGCAGAGAAGGAGAAACACCTGGACCTTTTCAGTTCTAGTTTCTGTTCTGCTCCCCTCCTCCTCCCTGGAGTCCATCTTCTCCCCAGCCATAGTCCAGGGATTGTTTTTTCTCCCTAAGAGAAGGAAAAACTGGATTCTGGGGAGACTTAAACACCTGTTGGCCCCTACCACTGTGGTGGGTCTCTTGGCTGGATCGTATGAGGCCATGAGGACAGGCTGAGAGAGTTGGGGGGAGTTCAGGCTGAGAACAGAAGGTTCGGGGGAGACCTTAGAGCCCCTTCCAGTCCCTAAAGGGGCTCCAGGAGAGCTGGGGAGGGACTTGATCAGGGAGGGGAGCCATAGAGGGAGGGAAAACTGAAAGAGGGGAGATTGAGCTGAGATGTGAGGAAGAACTTGTTTGCTGTGAGGGTGGTGAGAGCCTGGCCCAGGTTGCCCAGAGAAGCTGTGGCTGCCCCATCCCTGGAGGGGTTCAAGGTCAGGTTGGAGGGGGCTTGGAGCAACCTGGTGTGGTGGGAGGAGCTGGACCAGATGGTCTTTAAAGGTCTCTTCTCTTCTAACTGAAACCATACTGATATTCTCTGATCCTATGAAATAGGTGCTGTTAATGAATGGCTAGTGCCTGTTTTCAGGTGAGAGCTGGGTTTGCCCTCCTTCGGTGAGTGTTCTGTGAAAGGACCTCACCAGCAATGGTCACTGTCTCTCCTTTGGTGCTGATTTGAGGGAGTGACTGTCAATGCTGAGTGTAAATCGCAGGGCAGAGCCAGAGAAGGACACCAGCCCAAACCCAAGATGGGACTTGAGCCAAGCTTGGATGAATGAGATTCTCTGCAGCTTTGGGGCTCTGCCCTGGGCCCTGAGTGAGGAATGGCACGGACTGAAAACTGAACTCGAAGCTACTCTGCACTGTGAGAGAGGGAAAAAAAAACATGCAACATTTTGATCTGAAATGAAATTTATTTTCCTGCTCCAATGTGAAAGGAGCGCAAGGTGTGATGCAGGAGTTAAAAGCTCTTCTCTTGTAAGCTCTTCCCTTAATCACATCAGGACTATGAGGTCTTTCTGCCACTTTCCTGGAGCTTTGCCAAACTTCCAGGAAAAGAAGAGTTGAACTTTGGTCCTTACTTGGTTTTCAAGTCCTTTTTTGCATCCAATGCTATGAGAGCAGCAGGGGTCTTTGTAGGTGCCAAGAATCTGTAAGACTTTAACCAGGATGCTCACAAGCAAGAGGGGACCATGGAGGTCTAGGACAAATGATGCTTCCAGTTGCAGGTGCAGTTGAAAACAGATAAGAAAGCCAGAAAAACCTAAAGCCACAATGTTTTTACAATCTTTCTACAGCTTTGGTGAGAGATTAGGCCAGAGTGAGAAGCGAGTTTGGCTGTACTTGAGAAAAATGCAGCTTCTGCCTTATGAAAGTGAGTTTTTGATGTGCATAGATGTGTCACTCAGCAGTTTGAGCCCCAGCAGGGGCATTGCTTGAGCTGTGTGAAGTACCTTGTCATGTCTCCTAACCCCACCTCACACCATGTACCAAACAATGTCTGGACATGCTGGCTCCAAAGCATCTCCATCTGGGTATCCCAGCCCAGCTGCCCAGGTAATAGAGCAGAGATCTGTGTCCCAGGGCCCAAGCTGGCATCTTGGTGGCCACCTAGCTGTGTGCTGGCAGAGTCTCATGGGTGACAGCTTGAGGACACAGCCCACAGCACAACAGGGGGATTTACTCTGTGCCTGGGGCTGTCCCGAGGGAAGAGGGCACCTTTCTGCAGGACCGAGGCAGTGGGAGGTTGTGCTGTGGATCCCTAGGGCTGCATTTAGCCTCTGCAAGGAACCAGTGTCACGTAAGGTCTCAGAAGATTTGGAGGCTTGGGTGGCTGCCAGAAACCAGAGGACTAGAAAGGAAAAATTGCCTGCATTTTGCGGATTGTCTTTTGAATGTCGTCATCAACAGTTTCGTAATCGTGTTCAGCGCTGTCGCTCTCTGTGCCTGGAAGGGAAGGCATAGCCTGCAGACACGCACCCTACTTATTGCACAGGATCCTGGCAGGGGAGAACCCCTGCCTTCCCCACCGACATGGCAGGGACCTGGGGTGGGGGGACATCTTATGGTGAGGTGGCAGCCCCTGCAGACACCAACCTCGCGGGCCACGGGTCCCCTGCCATCTCAGGAGGCAGGGGACGATCATCCCTTCGATGGCAGATAGAGAAAATAGGCTGGGCGGTGGTGTTCACCTTGACATCACCACTGAGGTCAAGCCTTGCTTCCCCTCCTGCCGTGGTCCCCATGTGTGACAAGGGGTCAACACGGCCTCCTCGTGGATCCCCCTGTTTGTGGGACAGGGGGATGGGGCAGCTCCATAGGGGTTCCCTTGGCACGTGGGACAAGGGCCTGGGGCAGACCCTGTGGGTGCTCCCAACCCATGGGTCCTCCCCTGCATCTGGGACAAGGGGAAGGGGAGGTGCAGCCCCTGTGGGGGCCTGGCTGCCGGGGGTGCACATGTCCCCTGCTCAGCATCCCTACCCCAGGCCCCCGTGGGCCAGCCCTGGAGAGGGGGTGGCCGTAAGCAGCATGACCCGCTGCCACTGCTGGGGGGCCATGTCCTCCTGCCACGGCAGTGCGTCTTTGGGCTGAGACCTGTGGAGGGGCCAGGGCCTGGAATGTGTCAGGGGCCTCACCTGTGTCCCTGCGAGGTCTCCGCTGGCCATACTGTTTGGAAGTGCTTGGCTGGGGCAGGGCTGGAAGCGGCGGCAGTGACAGAGCCGGGCGGGTGCCTACCGACGAGGATCCAGGGCTCGAGGGATGTCGTCCCCCAGGGCTTGTCCCTGCCTGCGCCCGTTTGGGGGGCCGTGGGGGTGGTGGGGCCAGGGCGCCAGGCAGCTGGGCCAGCAGCTGGTAGTAGAAGGCCTCAGTCAGCTCCTCCACCCGGCATCGGCGGGTGCCGGGGGCCAGGGGGTGGACGGGCCCCTCGCTCAGCATGACGGAGAAGTCCAGCCACCGCGGCGGGATCTCGAAGGCCTCCGCCGGCTCCTGGCAGAAGCTGCCCACCAGGACGGGCTGGTCCAGGCGGGCCTCCAGCCGCAGGGCAGGCAGTGTGCCCAGCACGTCCCGCTCCAGCCCCGGGTCAGCAGCCACCACCCGGACCTCGCAGGGCAGTGGCTGTCGCTCCAGCAGCTCTGCCAGCCCATACTTCTTGCTGTCACACATCTCCTCCACGAAGCTGCCCCCCAGGTCCAGAGGCAGCAGCAGCTCCTCGCCTTCCTCCTCCTCCCCACCATGGTGGTGGCAGAGCAACCGGGCATTGGGGCCCTTCCCCTTCAGCCCCTGGGCCTCTAGCCGGTCGCCCACGCCGAGTGGGGGCACGTTGTCCCCCCGGCCCTCACAGTCCTGCGTCACCACCACGTGCAGCCGCTGGCCAGGCTGCAGGCCAGCTGCCAGCTCCTGCACTCCTGTGAACTGCCGGGGCCGCCGGCGGAACCGGCCCTGGTAGGCACTGGAGAGGAGGAAATGGCGGCTGCTGCTGGGGGCCGAGGCCAGGACCCAACAGGCATGGGAGCAGCTGTGGAGCTGTAGCTGCTGCCCCCGCTGCAGCCGCGACACCCAGGTGCTCTCAAAGATGGCAGGGCCGGTTGGACCCTCCAGGATCTCAGCCTGGGCCGGCAGCGCCTCCTCCATCCTCAGCACCTCGCTCAGCAGCAGCGACCGGGCAAAGTGGACGTGCTGCGCCTTCTCTGTGACGTCCTCCACGTCCACCTCCAGTGTGGAGGGGATCTTCACCACGTCCCGACGCACTGCAGGGGGAGAGCCACCCTGACCCTGTGCTCCACCCACCCTGTGCACTAGGGTCCCAGCACCAAACCAGTTTAGGCCCCCAACCCTGTCACCCTCATCCCAGCCTCACAGCATTCCTGCCACAACCCACAGCCTTGCCCTCCAACCCCTCAGCATCAGACCCTGCAGCATCCTTACTCCAACCCCACAGCAGCCCTGACTCCCCAGCCCCATCTGGACTCACAATGCATGATGGCGTGCACCTCGTAGACGGGGTGCAGGAGCAGGGCATGGGGGCTGATGGCAGGGCACAGCAGGGGCTGTGGTCGCCTGTCCCACTGCCCCAGTGCCTGGTGCAGCGTCAGGCCCTGATGTGGACCACCCTCCAGGAATTGTGTCTGCAGTGTTTTCTTCGGTCTTGGGGCTGGGGCAGGTTGGAAAAGACCTGTGGGACAATGAGGCTGAGCTCATGGGGGCTGCAGAGGTCTCCCCCAGGAGGAGGGCACCCATGCGGTTCAGGCTGGGACAGGACAGTCCTACTCACCCTTAAAAGTTGCTGGCAGCTCTGTTGTCTGTCCTGTCATCGTGTCCTCACAAATGACCTTCTGCAGTGCCACAGCCATGACTTTCAGCAGGTCACCCGTTGACAAGCAGCATTCATTGCCTGAAATCTCATACACGGACCCTGCAGAGTGAAGAGAGATATTTCCTCAAAGAAAATGCCTCTACCAGCATTTCATAAAATCACAGAGTGATTTGAGTTGGAAACGAGCTTCGCAGATCATCTGGTCCAAACCCTCTTCCACGGACATGTCCCCTGCAGGGACACCTCCCACCAGACCAGGTTTCCAACCTGGCCTTGAACCCCTCCAGGGATGGGGCAGCCACAGCTTCTCTGGGCAACCTGGGCCAGGCTCTCACCACCCTCTGTAAGCTGTTCTTTACTGCTTCCTCAGAATACCTGAGGTGGTTGGTGCTCCTGTCCAACATTTGAGAGCTCCTGACTGAACTCAATCATACGAAGGAGGTGTACAAGTAGTGGCAGCAGGACAGGTGGTACAGGAGGAGCAGAGACACGTGGCCTAGCACACAGGCATGGGCTTAGGAACCTAACCTGCCTGGAGCTGAATGTGTTGAAGGATGTGAAAGGCAACAAGGAAGGCTTCTACAAGTACATCAACAGGAAAAGGAAGAGACTGGGCAAAACATGAGTCCCTGGAGCAAGGGACCTGGTAACACAATGAAGGCAGATGTGCTCAATGCCTTCTTGGCCTCAGTTTTTACAGATATGACCAGCCTTCAGGAATCGCCCTGAGACCAGGGGGGGAAGTCTGGAGCAAGAAAGATCTACCTTTGGTGGAGGAGGAGCATGTAAGGGAGCACCAAACAGACATACCAATCCCACAGGGCCTTTTGGGGTACATCCATGAGTGCTGACTTTGTGAGGCCACTCTCTATGACCTTTGACAGGTCATGGAACCTTGAGAGAGGCTCCTGAAAACTGGGAAAAAAAGCAAATTCACTCCTATCTTCAAGAGAGGCAAGAAAGAGAACTACAGGCCAGTCACGTGCCCTTTAAACCATAGGAAGGTAATGGAGCAGATAATTCTGGAAACCATTAACAGATACATAAAGGATGAAAAAGTGATTTGGATTAGTCAGTATGGGACGATCATGCTTATCCAACCTGATGTACTTCTACTATGACGTGACTGGGTTGGTGGGCAAGGGGAGAGCAGTGGGCATTGTTTATCTTGACTTCAGGAAGGCTTTTGGCACAATCTCCCACCATGTCCTCATAGAGAAGCTGATGAAGAATGGGCTGGATGAGCAGATACGGAGGTGGACTGAAACCTGGCTGAACCGCTGGGCCCAGAGTTTGGTAATACCAAGTCTACTTCGAGACATCACTAGTGGCGTGCCCCAGGGATCATCACTGGGCCCAGTCCTGTATAGCTTCTTAGTTGCTGATCTGAATGAGGGGGCAGAGTACATCCTCAGCAAGTCTGCAGATGACACAAAACTGGGAGGAGGGGGCGATAGGCCAGAGGGTTGTGCTCAGCCAGAGGGACCTCGGCAGGCTGGAGGAACAGGCTGACAGGAACCTCACACAGTTCAACAAGGAGAAGGGCAAAGTCCTGCCCCGGGGAAGGAAGAACCCCCAGCACCAGCACATGCTGGGGGCCACCCAGCCGGAAAGTAGCTTGGGAGAAAAGAACCTGGGGTCCTGGTGGACACCAGGTTGAACATGAGCCAGCAGCGTGCCCTTGCTGCAAAGAAGGCAAATGGTGTCCTGGGCTGCATTAGGCAAAGTATGGCCAGCACACCCCCGGAGTGCTGTGTCCAGTGCTGGGCTCCCCAGTACAAGAGAGACATCGACAGACTGGAACAAAGGGCCACAAGGGTGATGGAGCATCTCGCCTGTGAGGAAAGGCCGAGAGAGTTGGGACTGTTCAGCCTGGAGAAGACAAGGCTCAGGGGGAATCTCTTCAATGTACATAAATATCTGAAGGGAGGAAGCAAAGCCACGCTGGGTGTTGGTGCCCGAGTGCAGAGGGGATGGAGGGTGCTGCAGGGACTGCCCCACCACTGACCACCCCTCACCTGTGGAGGGCAGGTGGGAATGGCCAGGAGAGTGCCTGCCAAGCGGGAGTGGGGGAACCTCGAGGTGGAAATAAATGTGAAAAAATAAACCACAGGAAGAGGTACATGAAAGCTAGGAAGTTTCACAAAGTATTGCACATTGTGTAAGCCCCACTCCCCACTCTCCAGTCCTCCCATGTCCTCTCACGCTGTGACAACATCGAGGGCATGGCCTGAAAAGGGAGAAAACCCACCACCAGGCTGCCCTGCCTCATGGCTGCACAAAGGTGCCTCACACCCTGGGCGCAGAGACCGGTTACCTCCACGCACACATGGCATGGCCGGTCCCCTTGGCTGGTAGCAGGACACAGACACACATGGCTGTGGATGCCCTGAGCAGGACCCAAAAGTGCTCCTTGGCTCCACCGCAGCATCAGCCAGAGCTGTTTAGCAACATAAAGCAGGATGAAGAACACAGAGGAGGTGGAGTGCGTGGCTGGGAGAGGAGCCCAAGAAGGGGCTGAGACCACAGCAGTTTTTTAACATCTTGGGAACACCTACAAATTTTTGCTAATACAATCCCAGTATTAATAAGATCATCAGTAGTGGTGGGAAATCCAAGGTGTTCAAGATACATCATCAGTGCAGGAGGGCACACCTGCAGGGTGCAACACTGATTCACCCCCAGTGCACTCTGATCCATCTGTGAGGTCCAGCACTGGCCACCAGCAGCCAAGGGAATTCACACCCGGGTGGTTGGCTGAGGGGTCTTTGTTGGGCTGATGCTTATTGCTAAGGAATCAGGAATACCTGGAACCTTGTACAGCCCGTGTCCTGGAGAGCTCCCAGTGCTGGTAACTGTGCAGGGGTCGAAACAGAAGAGAAAAGCAGTGCAGAAGAGCACAACAGAACGGCTGGAGGCTGAACTGCTGTTAACTCAGATGAGAAATGAGGCGGGAATGAGTCAGCGGTTGATCACGCTGCCAAGGGGGTGGATGAACCTTTCCTGGAGCAGAAGCTCCTCAGGCTACGCTACCACATCATGATACCCTCCAACACAAGCAATGCCCCCTTCTGCCCATAAATCTTTGCATTCATTGAGCTGCTACCAAACCTTCACCCTCCTTGAGATGAACTCATGACCGCTTGCTATGTGAAGCAGAAAGCACCAGCTGCCTCACCATGACTACCAGCAACTGCTGAACAAATTGACTGCTGTTGTTGGAACAGTGGCAGTTTTACTCATTTAGCAATGTTAAATGTTATTGAGGCTACCAGAAGTGTCTGGGAAAACTAATCATCCATCCTAACCGAGCTACAGAGAAGCAGTGAGACCACCCCAATCACTTGGCCTACTCTTTAAAACTTAGTTTAACCTAAACAAATGCTACAAGTTCTACAAATCCTGATGGTTACTGCCACATTGGTGTTGCCAGGATCCTGCTGCCCATTCCCAGCTTTTTTGGGAGCCCCAGAATTCCAGCAAAAGCACTTGCTAATTTCTGACTCTGTTTCATCACCATCATTGCCACCAGCTGATATTGCTCAAGGCTTCTCCTTGACCTAAGACATCTCCAGGGTCATCGCCCAGGAGGAATTAGAGAGCTCAGACCAGGCTGCTTTCTACACCCTTGCTGAACTCCTAGCACTGGGGCCAGGGGCAACTCCACTCCCACCTTCCTCCACCACCCACCCTGTGGCCTCCATCCCTGCCAGATCCACCACCAGCAGATGACTCCCTGCCTGGCACCAGAGCTGCACATGAAGTAGAGGACCAGCTTGGATGGCTTTTGGTGCCTCACCACTTTCCTAGCAGCATGACTGAATGCACTGGGGCACCCAGCTGGGTGGCACTGGGTGTAGAAGAGTGTTTTTGCAAGCAGCTGTGCTTTAGGCACCAGTGTCTGGTGGTGGCGTGAGGACCCATACCTCTCCCTAGCACACGCACCCCCGTGGCAGGGACCAGCCATCTTGAAGGCAGCCGGGGAGAGCCTGGGATGCAGGGGCACAGCAGGAGGAGGTGGGGCACCCTGGGGCACCCTTTGCAGGCAGCCAGCACTCACCTTGGAAGTAGACACCGGCACAAATCCTGAGGACACGCGGCAGGGTGGTGGGGTCCAGGGAGCAGATGTATTCCTGGAAGGAGAGGGGCTCCATGGTGGTGCTGCCGGGTGCTCTGGGGCACTGCAGAGAGGGAACCGCGTGGGAAGCAGCTCTGGGCTCTGATTTCACTTCTGCTTGCCTTTCACTTCTGCTTCTGGCGGTGGTAAGTTCCCTCTCTGGCGCTAGACTCTGCTGCTGGCAACTCTCCAGCCTGCACAGACTGACCGAGATGCTGTTGGGACAACCCCCTTCCTGGCCCCCATCACCCAGCATAGATTGGTTGTCCCCCAGTGCCGGTCCTGGTGATGCCACTGGTGCTGAGGGAGGGTGAAGGCATGGACCCCCCCAGCTCTGCCGTGGTGCTGCCCTGCCCAGACTGATGCTCCAGCCTGTCCTCCCCAGGCTGTCCCCATCGCGCTCCTCTACGTACCAGCCTGCCCTGCCCCTCTGAGGCTGGGCCAGAGGGAGTGATGGTGCGGTGGAGCAGAGGACAGGTCCAGGCAGACCACGCCAGAGAGAGCGAAGGGCTGTGTCCAGACAGCCCTCACCCCTTATACACACACAGGCACTTCCATCCTGCTCACCGCTGGGCTTTCAAACCCCACTTGCCCCCGGTACAGACATCCTGTGCCCCCTGCTCTGGCTGATGCTCAGCATGCAGGGGGAGAGGGCAGTCAGGGCGTCCGGGCTGCGTGTCACTGTGGAGCGTAGAGCCAAATTCCCACACCTACAGGACACAGGCAGCAGCACCCGCCTGTCTCTCTGCAGAGACGAGCCCTGTCCTCTGCCAAAGCAGCCAAGCACAGTCCCTGGGGCTGACGAGGTGGAAATGACGGTTCTGAGAGCTGCTGCTCCTGATGAGCTTCATCTTTGTAACAAGTTTCCTCTAACTTGCACTACAAATAAAACCGAAGCTGCAGGTTAAGAACAGGAGCAGGACGGGACTTAATGTAGGAAAGAAACTGGAGAAAGGCATCCTAGAAGGATGGAGACCTTCTGCCTCTCTGGTGATCTGTTGAAGGGCTGCACCACCCTCCCAGAGATGTTTTCCTAATGCCCAGCCTGCAGCTCCTAAGCTGGGGATGTGGCCACTGGCCCTCACTATCATGTCTGCCACTGCTGGGAAGAATTTGGCTCCATTACCAGCAAAACTGTCCTTCAAACAGCTGTTGGCTGCTATGAGATTGTCCTTCTCCTCTTCACCAGACAAACCCATCCCAGCTCCCTTAAACACTCCTCATAGACTGTGTACCCAGCCCTACCTTGGTTGGCCTTTGGTGGTCCTTCTCCCACATCCCTCTTCTTGAACTCAGGGATCAACCCTGGGTCTGCTGTTCCCAGTGCAGGCAGGCGGAAGGGATGGCTTCCCTTGAGCCATCAGCCGTGATCTGGTCTCAGTCCTGCATGTTCACAGCAAGAGTCTGGTGCTGGGCATTTCAGCCTGAGGATACGTGGGAAGAGAAGCAGGAGCTGCTGTGTACCAGACCTCTTTAGGCTGTTCCCCAGCAGGACAGGCTGTCCCAGGCAGGCAGGCTCAGCATCACTGCAGAAGGTGTATGGATGCTGAGCACGTGCTGATGGGACATGGCAAGATTTACAGCAGGGCAGCGGCACACAAGCCCATGTGGAACTAGAGCAATGAAGCTAAAGTGGGTGGAAGAACGCAAGCAAGCAGTAGTTTAGATGCCATCAGCTGCATCATCAAGAAGCGGGAACGGGACACAGTGCCTGGGAGAAATAACTTTGTAGCAATAAAGTGTATTTTGTTGTATCAAACAGTGTCAAGAACCCCTGAAGAGCAGGACCAGACTAACTGTGGGAGGTCAGGAAACTCTCAGTATAGTAGAGGGAAGCTCCCAGATCTGCAGAGCTCGTCCCTCTGGGGGTGTTTTGGTGCTTGAAGGCAGAGTCCAGGGAGGGGCTGAAGAGATGTACTGCTCTGGAAATCACAGGGTAAGTTGAACAGCCAACAGCAAAGGTCTCAGGACACTGTTCCCATTCCTCCATTCCCAAACAGGCCCTGAGGAACCAGCCACTTGCCTGAACAGCCCAAAACCCCAGCAGCAAAGCTGACTCCAGGGCCTCTCTGCAGGGAACAGGTGAGGGTGGTCATGGTGGGCATCCCTGGCAAGGCAGAGTGTGCATCTTGGTACAACTGAGACCTGTGTTTGCAGCTGCATGAAGAAAATGAGGGTTTCCTCAGATTATGTGCTGGTCTAGTCCAAAACAGAAGAGTGTGGCCACAGCCACCCTGTGCTCTTCTACCCGACTGAGGAAAACACAGTAGGACAGGGAACAGAAGGAATTAGTTTGAAAATCAGCCATATGTCTAAAAATAAAATGTAACTTCAGCAGCCAGAAACACACAGTGGCCTAAGCGGGACAGCTGAGCAGCCCATGGTTCGCACGTAACAAGCTGCTTGTGGTTGGAGAAGATACCAAACACTGCCTGCTCTCTGCTGAGGTTTCCTCCCAGGACATGTGATAACAAACACCAAGAGACCCCGTGCGCATGCAGCTCCCCGGAGCTCTGCTCATTGACACGTCCAACAGACCCCCATTCCCAGAGCCCTCGATATCCCCGGTGAGCGATGGAGGGGGACATGCTCAAGGGGGATGCTCATACCCTGGCTGCAGAGCGCGGCTGTGAAAGGGCAGCTGATGACTCAGCGTGCAAATCTCCATGGGAAATCCGGAAAAACAAACAGGGTCATAGAGGTGTCCAAGTCCTGGACACAGTTACAACGAGCATGGCTGTGGAGAGCAATCATGGTCAGCCGAAAAACCCACTGGCTCTGGCCTGAAAGAGGCTTCCAGGAGCAGGACTCCAGGCTGCTGAGCTCCAGCAGCAAAGAGGCAGGATTTGGCCAGGGTGAGTCAGAGCCAAGGAAGAGGCAGCCTCTTTTCTTCAAGGATGGGGAAGAGCTGCAGGGAAAGGGGAATAAGGAGAGGCAGAGTCGTGTTCTTGAGCTGCAGAGCATCTCTGCTTTAGGGCCAGTGACGCCTGCTGTGCTCTCCTGGAAGCTTAGCCTTCAGCCTGACTTCATCTGGGGATGGCTGGAAGGAGGGGGCTGCTTTGCAGAGGTGTGTGTAGCTGTCCCCCAGGGTTTGGGATGTCTCTGGGAAGAGCAGAGCAGTTGGAAAAGGCAGGAAATGCGTCAGGGCTCCATCACCCCAAACACAGCCAAGGCCCTGAGGTGAATAACTGGGTGGAATGTTTTCACTTCCCCCTGCAGAGCCTGCGCTGCCTGCGACGGGAGGACAGGCCATGGCAGGGCCCTGGGAACTGCTGCTGTATTTCACACACTAACTGAAACCAGCACATCCCCTTTCCCAAAAACAGCCCTTGCTTCCCCACAGCAAGAAAGATCTCCACAGGCACTGAGGTATAGGACACATTTCCACATCAGCCACCCAGGGCCTGATGTCAGGGTGGCTTAGGCTTCGGTTAGACACGTGGTCTCCAGACTGAGGGGCCTCTGCGAGCACCCCCTCCTCTTCTTTGAGTTCAAATTCAGATCCTGCCCAGCAGGTGCCCCCGACTGAGGGATCCCCTGTGACAGCCGGGCAGCACTTGGAGAGTCTCTGACTCAGCAGCACGTGCAGAAGAAAGGGAAGCAGCGAGTGATAGAACTGCTCATGGCAGTAAGCAGGACCCAGCTCGTCACCAAGGCCAGAGGAGCTGTGCAGCTGGAAGGCCAGGAAAGGGGGAACAGTGAGAGCAGAAGGCCCTGGTGGCACTGCAGTGTCACGTACACACCCTTGATGATCCTGTCCAAGCCCTGTCCAAGCCATCCGGCACCCAGCCCAGTGCTAAGACTAACCCAGCATCGTCTCTCACTGCAGGAGACACGTCTCTAGCAGAGTGTGGGAGAACCAGGACCCACAAATGGTTTTGCCTTTTACCCTGCTGAGGCTCTAATAAGGGTGATGAGGACAGACAATAGTAGGTGCAGGGGACCCAGCACTGCCAAGCTACCACTAACCAATGTCCCCCAGCACCTCGTCTACACATCTTTTAAACACCTCCAGGGATGATGACTCCACCACTTCCCTGAGCAGCCTCTTCCAAGACTTAACAACCCTTTCAGCGAAGAATTTTTTCCTAATATCTAATCTAAACCTCTCCTGGTATAACTTGAGGCCGTTCCCTCTTGTCCTATTGCCAGTTCCTTGCGAGAAGAGACTTGCCCCTCACTACACCCTCCTTTCAGGGAGTTGTAGAAAGTGAGGTCTCCCCTCAGCCTCCTTTTCTCCAGGCTGAACACCCCCAGCTCCCTCAGCCACTCCTCACAAGACTTGTGCTCCAGACCCCTCACCAGCTCCACTGCCTTTCTCAGGACCTGCTCCAGCCCCTCTATGTCCTTCCTGTCATGAAGGGCCCAAAACTGAGGTGCCCATGAGGTGGGGCCTCACCAGTGCCCAGCACAGGGGGACGGTCACTGCCCCAGTCCTGCTGGCCACACTATTCCTGACACAGGCCAGGATGCTGTTGGCTTCCTTGGCCACCTGGGCACCCTGCTGGCTCAAATCCAGCGGCTGTTGACCAACACCCCCAGGTCCTTTTCCGCCAGGCAGCTCCAGCCGCTCTTCCCCCAGCCTGGAGCATTCACGGGGTTGGTGTGACCCAAGGGCAGGACCCAGCACTTGGCCTTGTTGAACCCCATCCCATTGGCCTTGGGCCATCCATCCAGCCTCTCCAGATCCCTCTGTAGAGTCTTTCTACCCCCAAGCAGATCAACACTCCCACCCACCGTGGTGTCATCTGTGAAATGACTAAGGGTGCACTCAACCCCCTCATCCAGGTCATTGATAAAGATTTTAAAGAGAACTGGCCTGAATACCAAGCCCTGAGGACACCGTGCATGACCAGCCTCCAACTGTATTTAACTTCTTTCACCACCACTCTCTGGGCCTGGCCTCCAGCCAGCTTTTCACACAGGGAAGAGCACACCCATCCAAGCCATGGGCAGCCAGTTTCTCCAGGAGAATCCCATGGGAAACATTGTCAAAGGCCTTACTAAAGTTCAAGTAAATAACATCCACAGCCTTTCCCTCATCCACCAAGCAGGTCACTTTGTCATAGAAGCAGATCAAATTTGTCAAGCAGGACCTGCTTTTCACAAGCCCATTCTGACTGGGCCTGATCCTGGGTTGTCCTGTATGTGCCCTGCCATGGTACTCAGTATGATCTGCTCCACAACTTTCCCCAGCACCAAGGTCAGACTGACAGACCTGCAGTTTCCTGGATCCTCCTTGTTGCCCTTCTTGTAGATGGGCGTCACCTAACTTGCATCAGAAGAAGTTTCCACTTTCTGCCTCAAGCAGTGAGCCAGGAAACCACACAATAGCTTTTTTCCTCTCCAGTTGTGCATTTGCCTGAGCAGAGCAGAACACACCCATTAACATAATAGACAAAATATAGGTGGAAAAATCTGCGATTTGCAGAAATTCACATACTGAACTAGGTATGAGTAACAGTCAACCAGGATTCTGTTCAGCAGCAACTGTGAAGTACATCACAGTACATCACAGTACAACTAGTTGTGTTCTGCGTACCAAGTAACTGAGAGTTTTTAAGAGATAACAAGAAAAACATGAAACCTCTCTAACAGATGGGCCCAGTGATATCAAACGAGTAAAAACTGGCTAGCAACTGCCACTAGTCAGGGCTATTATCAGTTCCACACAGCTGTCTTTTGCAAAAGACAGGCTGGACAGAAACAGCCCTTTTACTGGTTATTAATGAAATTGAATATTCCACCCCTCCCACAAAAAAAGAAAGAAACCCCATACATAACCCAAGAGGAAGCAATGAGCAAACAATTCTTGTAAGCCACACAGGTCGCCGTGCTCCCGGACTGATGACCATGCACAACCAGGGAAGAGCAGGCAAGTGCCACACATAAAGTGGAGCTGGTTCTGTAGAGCACCAGCTCGTCTGAAACACCCACGCAGGGTGTCTCCCAGCAGAGGGGAGCTCGTGGTAGAGATGGTCCTGTGCATTGTTTCAGCTTCCACATCTCACGCGCAGCATCTCACAGGCGCCCTTACAGCTGGTCAGTGCAGAGCAAAGAGCTTTTTGGCCGTGGGTTCTGGAGGAGACAGATGAGCTTTACAGCATGGTCACCAAACCAGTGGTTCTGTCTTCTCCAGTTAGGACTGGCTGATCATATCCAGAGTCCTGCATGTCTCTTGGAAACACAGTATAAGCTACTGCCTGCTGCTCACCATGGGTCATACTCAGTATCAGATGGAGATGACAGCTCTTGGTGCTACTGAAGCCCTGACTGAGCCCTGGATAACATCTCCCTGCTGTGCCCAAAACTCTTCAGGATCTGGACTGAAACAGCTGGCAGGCTCTCTGCCTTCATGGACACCCCCCTTCCCCTGTGTGCAGGGCTGTTAGCTGCCCTGCTGCTTCCCGAGTTCCTGCCGCAGATGCTCAGGGAGACACAATGATGTTCTGTCAGGTCCCTACTGCTCAGGTGACAGCTGGTGGAAAACACACCACTAGTTTTCATTCCACCCCACAGGACATCAGAGGTTTTATTTCTAGTCTTCAGACTTCTCTGGGCTTGTGACACTCATTTGCTTACTCTGCCCATTTTTAGCCATTACCTTGGCCTCTGCACAACATCCCCAGGCTCCGAGAGGCAAGATGTTTAGCTTTCAGCACCTTTCATTGTACCAGTCCTCCTCCCCACAGGGTTTAGTCTCCACTTCCTTCATGTGGCGTGACTGGAAAACAGTGTAAGTGAAGCAGTGACACAGAAGCAGAGGCACTCAGGGACAGGACATGAGATCTCCGCTGCAGGACAAGTTCTCTCAAGTCAGGAAGAACCCTTGAACAGGCCAATTTCAGGTCAGGGGGATAAGAAAAAAAAAAAAAATCACACCAATCACAGCAGCTACAGGGAGGCAAAGTGATCTCCCTGCTCTTCTGGCATCCAGATTCAACTGGGGAAACATACAAATTGCCTAGAGAAATTGCCTTGCAGGACCTCAGACAGACAACTGGAGTTTCCACAGATTTCAGACAGTCGTCCCCAAGTTGTCCTCCAGCTTGTTCAAGTCCTGAACTTTGCTGTTGTTCGCCTGCAGCTGGGGGCCTGAAGTTACAAGATGCAGGAGGCCAGAGCTCCTCAAAGAGCAGCAGGAACTGTGACCCCACACACAGGGCGCCAGGCAGACGAGCACAGAAGACACGTGAAGCCAGGGAGTCACATCAGCTGCCAGGATCCAAGCAGAACTGGCCTCACAGCCTGAACCACCCTCACCCTGAATGTTTGTAACGCTCCCTGTGGTGGAGCACAAACCTTCTCTGACCTGCCAATAAGCAAGAATTATCAGAGCAACTTGACGTATCCAAGTTGAAGCAAGCAGTGGAACCACTGCCTAAACAGCCTATTTCCAGGCTTTTTTTCATCTTCACCGGACTCTGAAATCACTACCAAAGTAACTAAGTGCTCTGGTAAAGTGTGTATATGGGAGAGGTTAACAGAGAACAAGCTCCTGGTAGCTCTTCAAGTTATAAAACCAGTATTTTTACAAAGGCACTGGAGAAAACTGGTTGTGCCTCCTTTGAGAAAGGACTTTTCCTGGGGTGATATGGGCATAAACACACCATTGTTTACCCACCAGGAGAAATGCTGCTTCCATTTCCTTCAAGCTCAAGCACGGGAAGGCTCTTTGACATATCTAGGAGGAGGTGGGGAACCTCAGGCAGAAAATGACCCATCACAGCCAAGATATGAACCAGAAAAGCCTCTGAGGCCAGCCACGACTGGAGTTGCTCGGTTAGTCCAGTATTACTGGCCAGCTCCTCCAAGGCCAGCGCACGCACGGGCAGCTCCCATCTGGCCATCTCTGCAGGAGGACAGCAAACAGCTCAGGCCATGGCGAGATGTGTCAGAATTACCAGAGCAGTATTTAAGACTTCCTCCTCCTCTACCATTCTGCAGATGTGATCGAAACCATTCACAGATGTACACCAGAACAGACGACAAGCTCTGTACAAGAGGGTGGACAACAAAGATTTGGGCTCTTAAGCTGCTTCTCCTTTAAAGATTCTTGAAGGGGACATCGGTTCTGGGAAATTCGTAAGAAGCAAAAGACAACGCTGAAGCAACCATCAATGCTGCTGGAAAGCTACTGCCTTTGTGGAGCAGGCAGGTCCCCTGATGGAGGCAGGGAAAGCCCCGTGGTCAGTCTCAGGCACTAACGTGATGCTGGTACGGGAGGTACCTCTTACTGATTTACTGGTTTTGGGACCTTCAGGGAAGGCTAATTTAGAGACTGTGACCCAAAACACACAGTTGTCTATCCTGAACTTGCCACAACCTTACTTCATGCTGTCTGTGTGCGCTAGAATCCTGTCCCCTACACTGAGCAGGTAGGTCCCAGTGACGCCACAAAGCTGGTATGAACGAGGAGCTGCTCCTGCTGTTGAGCAGAGGTGAAAGCAGAAATTTTTCCCCCTGCTTTATCTATCATTGCTTAATTAAGACAGAGTTTTGAGATCAAAGAACTTATAAATTACCTGACTGTATTAGACTGCTTTTGAAAAAAATCTTCTTAAACAGCATCTGACCTCTGAGACCTGTGGACCTGTGGTAGCCATTACACAGCCCAGTTCTCTGGCTTCTTCTAAGCCACTTGTTCCAGTCCTACCCTCCCCCGTGGTCCCTGCCCACGCCACCGAGTGTTTTGAAGCATTTGGTAGAACTGCAGGAACCCACACTTCAGCTGGCACTCACCTGCCCTGTGCTGGATGCCATTCCTGCTCTCCTAAAAGGCCGCAGGGAGAAGTCACCTCCTCTCCAAGAAGTCATTCCTTCAGGCATGTTGTGACAGAATCTAACACACGGGTGTCTCACTGCACAGCTCACCGGGAACAGAACTTGTGTCAGCTCCTTACCAGCTCTTGGGATGCTGCTGGACACTGCACTCCTGTACACTGCACTGCACA